TTCATCTTATCAATTATCTTAATTTACAAAATGTCACAATATTTTCTCACTGAAGCAATACGCAAATATTCCATGCATAGATACATATATATATATATAAATCCGTATAGATATAGATACATATTGATTTTTTTTTGTTTTTAGAAAAATATATGAAACAAAACAAGATTTAATCGAAGAGTCGATTTCGACAATGGTTAAGTATAGATTTTTTAACTTGAAAATTACGCAAAGTTTTTAATTGTATTCGTTCATTTGTATTTAAAATAGTTTCACAACGTTGTTGTAATTTATTAAGATTTTCACGTATATTTATATTATGACAATCAATTTTTGATCGTATTTCTAATAGATTTATTTCATGTTTAAGTTTAGTACCAATTTCAATTAATTCATTATATTCATTTGTAGAATTATATGAAATTTTTTTTGCCATTTGTAATAATTCATTAGCTGTATTTTTCATTCGTTCAATAGCACATAAATAAATTTCAATACGTACAGAATATTTTGCTATTTCCCATATATGATTTTGTAAATCAAGTAACATTTGTTCATTTCGATCATCTAAAATATCTTGACGTTGTTTAACAGTTAATAATATACGATTCATATGACGTATTTTATCTTTATATTCTTTTAATTGTTCTGGTCCACCTTGAAATGCATTAAGATCAATTGTTATTGTACGAAATGTATCTTTAACTTTAGTTAATTCATTTTGTATATCACGATTAAGAGCATCGAATCGATTACGATTATATGGTGATAATAAACGACGTGTACCTTCACTTACAGTAGACTCTTCTGAAATAGTTATTGATTGAAAATCATCATGCGAAGAACTTAAACTAGTCATTGTCGATGTTTACTTATGAATTTATATTGAAATTGAAAGCAGTGCGGGCCACAATGAGCCGGCAACTGCTGTCATACATTTATTATTAAAGAAGAAAAAAAAAAAACAAAAACAATACACAAAAAAAACAATTTAACGAATAATCGGCGCGTTCAGAAATTTATAAAAAAAAAAAAAATTACAAATGATTAGTATCGTAGTTACAAGATTATTTTATATAAATAATAAATTGAAAACATAATTCGACTGACAAGATGAAGTATTTTGATGATAAATGTTATTTCATTTAGGGATATTATGAAGAAGAAAAAAGTACGAAATAAGGACGAGTATATAAGAAAAATTTTCTGAGAGCTGGGAAAAGTATCAAATCTCTATTATTAGTCGTTAAGTTTAAACATCTGATAAAGAAAAACATTTTTCACAGATTATCTATCCATTATTTAACAAACTAGTAATACATCTTGATGGATCATCAAGACATTGAGATTATTGCTTTATAGCAAAAATTTGAATGTTAACGTCTGTTTTTTTTTTGTTGTTAGATAAGTATAAAAACAAACGAAATAGAATAATCGAGGCCGAATCGAGATACTTCAGCATTATCTATCAAGAAGAAAATCATTAATCGATTAGTGTAAACAAGAAAAACTATACAAGAACTAATTGTTCTCAAGAGAGCAGTTTTTCAGAATTGTGAAGATACAAAAAAGAACATTACAATTTTGATCATTATATAAAACTTCATACGTATTAGATGGTTTTGTTTCTCGTTCTAGATCAATGTTACTATTTCTACACTATTAAAACGATGTCAATTATAATCACTATTGTTATAAACTATTTTGTATCGATATATTAATTATTAAACGAAGTAGTTATCAATATGATTTTACATGTACACCTTGTTGAATTATATTAATTCCACTGTAAATCTTACGAAGAATGATAGTGAATATATCGTCTTCACTCATTCATCATCATTGTCGTCATCGTTTGATATTATATCGAGTATTTTATTAATTTTAATTCTTTCTGTCTTCTGCCTTTTGGGTGTTATTTTTATGATGTTTGGCCCCATGATGCGATCGGAAGCTTTGAAACGTGTCGATAATTATATATTTGGTCAAGGACTAGAACGAGAAAATCAAGATGATGGTGACACTGACAACGGTGACACATAAATTTGTAATGTTGCAAATTATATTGCAGACTCGTGGAGTTTTTTTTGAATTTTATTTTTGTAAAAAGAATTTATCGAAGTTTCAAAAGTTCTAATTAACAACACAACAACAGTTTTAAATAAAAAAATGTTTCGATCGAATCAACTATTGAAGTTAGATTGAACAATAACAAAAATATTTGAGGTCTTTACGATCAACATAGTAGATCAAAATCAGTATATACTACATTAATTTCTATTCAGTGGTGTGTCTCTAGACAGACAAAGTGTGACAACAAAAAAAATTAAACGAATTCAAATAGTAAAGAAAGAAAATTTTTGGCTATTCCATACTTTTGTTAGCATTAACGTTCAAACACGATATTCTTTTTCAGCAATGTTGTAATTCATATCCACAATAGCATTTGCCTTAATTATTCTTAATGGACAAACTAGCTAAAATATGAAATCATCTTATACATCTTTTGTTAGACTTGACAATGACAGTAAACTACTTGCATTCGAGTGGCACGTTAATGTATTTATAGTTTTACTATTTAATAATGTTGTTTTTTTTTACTAGTAAACAAGGAATAATTTGAACGATTATACGAGTTAAATCACCCATCTTTGACAGTTTCTTTATGCATGTATTTGCTGTTGAGAGCAACCACTTTTCTGCATTTTCTTTTTTTTATCTCTGTCGCATGTTTGCGTATGTATTACTATGTTCGAATATATTGTTCATTACTGTGTGAATGCCAATCAATCACTTACACTTATGCTTTCTTCTCGTCTTCTGTTGTGTTATTCGTTCCTTCAATCAAAGTACTTATTGAACTGTATTTTACAATGGTAGAAATTTGTTATGTGTCTATTCTGTCAAAAATAAACTAGACTCAGTAGTATTCAATTAATTCAACAGTTTCACTTTTTTGATGATTCCATCAATGAACATGTTGTATGAACTCATTACAGTTTTATATATGACATGCAATGAATTTTTACATAAGATTTCATAGTGCGACTGATTTAACGCTGTGATTTGTTCATAAGACATATTTACGAAGCCACATAAACGTAGTGAAGGCCGAAAGAGAAAACCTGAAAAATAAATATAAAGTACAATTGTTCTTGAAAACATTGATCATAATTACCATGTAACGATGTATGAAAGGTGTTCATTGCGCAGTTGAATGTTTGTTTGACTACCGATTGGACCACCAGGAATAGATGTGCCTAGAACAAGATAATATTTCGAGATCTATTAATGTTAGCTTATCATATTGATAAACAATTATCTTGGATAAATAAGTATTTTAAACAAAAATTTCTTTCTCATTTTTTCAGTTGCATGATTATATATTCATAATCTTCATTCTTTCAATGAACTTTTATACCTACGAAAAAAGGATTTGATATGACGATATGCAACCTGTTTCATATAACACAACAACTAATCATACTAAAAATGCACATTCATAATGTGTTGATACTTGCCCTCAGAAACTGTCTATACAACTCGAGAAATACAAATATGAGATTTAGAAACAAACGATTTATTGTTTTTCTTTGAAAAAAATACAGTAATTATTTTTTCGCTTTTTGCTCTCATTTTTTGATAGTGAATATGATATATGTAAACTTCTATTATTAGTATAAATTCAATAAAATTAGAAAAAATGAAAACTTTCACAAAATTATGTAAATTACTTTTAACTTCATCAATAAAAATGGGTGCCGTTTGAATAGCAGCTGCCATTTCAGCTACATCACGTACACGCCAAATATTTCTCGATGGTTCATTTTTATTCCACATTGCATGTAACTAGAAATATACAAAAAAATAAGTAGCAGAATATTTCTTTGTTTTCATTATAGAAAATAACTCACATAATCGGTTGACCGAAGTAACCCAATAATCTCATGTTCATCTTCAATCTAAAAAATATTAGATACAACAATATATAGTACCTATATATCATTTGTTTTTTTCAAGACTTTTCTACCTGTCCAGCACGTCGAGTAGATGAATCTCGTAAATCGAATGGAACATAACCACGATTGACAAGAATATCAAAACTACAAACATTTATATTAAGAAAAATGAACACATAAATAATTATTTACTTTCGATTTGCAACTCTAAATGGTGTGATTACATGTGCACCAGGTACTCCTGAAGCACGTGATTGTCGTGGACCAACTTGATTCTCACGTTCAACGAGATCAAGACGTGAACGAGGTTCAATAAGAATTTCTCGTGAATGATCGAATTTACCTCGAACACGAACTGGATAGTATTCTAATTCAGGTAAAATATCTAAACTATAATAGAAAAAAATAACATGAGATTTTCATTTCTTATTTATGAAATATGAATGAGGAAATTTAAATGAAATAACAAACACTTCATAGTATTTCTTCAATAATAAATACTAACTTTTCAAGTAATGATATTGGTTCAGCTTGTGTACGTGATTTTAATGTTTCAATTAAATTAATTTTCCATTTTCGACGACTAACTTGCCAACAACCTAATGCAAATGTACTTACTGGAATGATCTAAATGAATCAAATTGTAAATATGTCAAAAGTTAGAATTTTATTTTTTAAACATTTGAAATACTTTCATAAACATACGAGTAAAAAAAGAGCACCACCATCAAATTTATCTTTTCGATTTCGTTTTGTTAATGTAAATGATCGATTATTTGATTGATATATTGGTTTACTAATATGAATATTTCGAAATATTGATAATTGATTTGATATGTAAGGTCGAAAGAAAAGAATTTGTCGTGATATCATCTAAAATATAATAACGAATATATTTTTATTTAAATAGATGTTATAAAATAAAAATAAAAAAAGAACCAATTGACAGTAAAATTTATTTATTTATTGAATAAAAAATAGAAAAATATTGCTTGAATTAAGTTAAATAATAAAAAAAAAAAAAAAACAAATAATATGTAGTTAAGATTTTTGATGAAAATATTTTTCAAGTACTGGAATAATTTGTTTTTTACGACTAAGTCTTGATCCAAGATCAGCTATATGATGTTTAATATTAACTTTAAATGCTTCTTGTACAACTTTTTCTTCAATATCATCAGGAATTAATGTTAAATTTTTTTCTTTTATTATATCAACAATTGAAAATAAAATACCTTTTAAATTATTTCGTTTTTTTTCTTCTTTCATTTCTTTAAGTAATTCATCTTTTCGTTCAAGCATTTTATTCATATTAAATGTTTCACCTGTACCTATTCCCCATGTTTCATTATTAAAAGAATATGTTTTATAATCAAGAAGAAGAATTTGTTCTGTTGAAAATCCATTTAAATCACTTTTAGCTTCGAACATTTGATGAGCATATGATTTAATATCATCTATTTTGGCAAGTGGAACAAGATATTCTAATATTTTTCGATCATCATTTGTTGTTGTAGGTGATCTAGATAGGAATTTAAGACATTTTTTTTCAGGTCATTGTATAGTCTAAAGTATTATCTATTTATTATCAAAAAAAAGGTCATCAATTGATCCATGCTGTTTTCAATTATATTATGTCCATATGTTAGAAACATTATTCTAAAAGAGTTTGGGCTGATGAAGATTCTTTGAAAAGGTTATGCCCATTTTACCGAACAAGAGAATTTCAAACTGATATTTTGTTCACACATGTAGTTCGGAACATTTAGAATGTTCTAATAATTACGAGAAGTAAATATGAACAATATTTCGAAGTGAAATTCTGTTATTCAATTTTTCTGTGTTATTGGAAAAAATCGTAAAACGTTCATAGCTTTCGAAGGAAGTTTTATCAATCAAAATCTTGTTGGAATAATATCTCCAATATATATCATTGAAAACAACGTGAATCAATTGAGAATCTTTCGTCGTGAATACATTTTAGGATTTTCAAACCAACTTTTTTTTTATCGAAAAAACTGCTGCATTTCTTCAGTTTAGTATATCTGATCGAACTGAAAATTTTTTCACATTTACTACACAAACGGTTTGAGATAGATATCGTTTTTTTCATTAAAAAAAACACACTCATCCCAAAAAGTAATTCTCAGCGAGATCGAACATAGCATTTCGAAGAAACGTAAATGAAAATTGGAGCCATCTTGTGAATCTAGTATCTCATAGAAGATAGCATTTGAAAATTTTGAGTTCATGGTAACTTCTACTCTACTTTTTAAGATCTACTTGCGTTAAAAGTTTCAAAATTCTTTGTTATTTATTATTTTATAAATTACCGAAAATGAAGTGTATCACTAATAATAGCACTAGTTAATAGAAAAGCCATTTTTTGATCAATATTCAAATTATTTTCACGATATAATTTTGTTAAAATTGTTGCCGTACATCCAACAGGTTCAATACGTAAATAAATTGGTTCTGAAGTTGTTAAATCACCTAATTTATGATGATCAATAACATGAGTAATGCGCATTTTATTTAAATTTTTCATTGATTGTTGACCTAAAGTTAAAATCAAATGATGAAAAAAAAACAAAGTAAAGATTAAGAATAATCAAATCAAATCATTTTAATTACTTTCATTATGATCAACTAAAGCAACTTCTGTTCCATTGGGTATATTATCAGGTAACATTTCTGGTTCTTTAATATTAACTGTTTTAAGTATAAATTTTGTTTCATTATTGAGATTACCAAGACGATAAGCTTTAGCATTGATATTCATTTGACGAAGAAAATCACTATAAACAATTGCTGCTGTTATAGCATCTGTATCTGGATTACGATGACCCAAAACAATGATTTCTTTATTGTTATTTTTTACATTTTTAATTGATGAGCAAGTTCGATTAACTATATGATCTGAAAGAAAATTAGATTTATTTAATTTCATTCTCTATTTATCTTGAAAATATTAAAAGCATTTTTTGTCAAATTAAAATTTCTTTTAAATATATTGCAAAAGTTCGCTATAAAAGCAATATCAATTTTTTTCTTTCTTAATGATAATATGGTTATTTTGTTTTTTTTCTCTATTTTATTTAAATTTTTGGTTAGTACGAGATAGAAAATAAATACTTATCTTATGCATTCATAATAGATTTTAGTTAAGCAAAAAGCAAAATATATCAGATTCACAAAAATACCTACATTTTAATAAAAACTTTGAGATTGATAGAAAAAATCTATTTGTTATTGTATTCATATTCGAAATAATCTCAATTATTTTATCTATAAAACATAGTTAGATATATTTCATAATCTTTTGATATTATTGCAATTTTATCCATATGTTTTAACTATTCAAAAAAAAAAAAAGAACATTCGTTCATCATTCTTAAACTTTATATAATAATCTTAACAACAAAAAAAAACAAAGTATAATAACAAAATGAGAGAAATAAAACAAAAACAAAAAGAAAAACTGTATCTATACATAAACATATCCTATATGATTTACTATGATGAATTTATGTCAAAAAAGTTGACTACAAAAAAAAACAAAATCAAAGATGTATACACTGTCTCAAAATGGAATGAATATATTACATGAGTATATTCAAAAAACAAATAGACTATATATATCTGAACATGCACATATATATAAACAAGTAAATAAATACTATTTTTATATTTTTAACGTTGAACAAGTTGTGTAAGAAGTGCATTTGTTGTATTAACTGCTGCAATAACTTGTTCAAGTAATTGATTTTGTCGACGTTGTTCAATAATCATAGTTGTTAAATTATCATTAAAATTACTATTATTATTTTGTTCATTAGTAGAGAATGATTTAGTTTCTATATTCAATACACTTGACAAATTCGTACTTGTAATAACTGATGGTGATGATACAATATTATTACGAGTTGTTTCAACAAATTGTTGAGATTCATTGACCGTTGATTGTACGGGTAATGATACTGAATGAACATCTAAACATATATAAGATTGACAAAGTAATATTATCATTGATTAAAAAAAAAAGAAATCTCATTCGAGTAGAAAACAATTGATCGATTTACTAGTGCAATTCGAATTCTATCTTTTTGAAAACTAGACATTCTTATCAATCTGTAAATCTATGAATATTATACTTAGGGCAAATCAAAAGTTCGTAAAACGGTTTTAAAGAACCTTGTCGGATAAGGTAATCTATTCCGAAATGAAAAACCAAATATACCATGTTGTAGAGCTTTTTGAGGCGCGTCGAATGGTATATAATAAATTCTGTTTTCATAAGACTTTGAAGGAACTAGAGTCAATTTACTGATAAACGACTACTTACCACCCTCACCTAAGTATGATAGATTACTGAATATTGTGGTCCTTGGGATTAGTCGAAAGTATTTGTAAAATATTTTTTCTCACATACGATTTTGCAGTTTCTGACGAGCTACAACCTCATATATGTAGCATCTCCGGTCATCTTGTCAGTGTGTGTGCGTAGTCGTCTATCAGTAAATTGACTCTAGTTCTTTCAAAGTCTTATGAAAACAGAATTTATTATATACCATTCGACGCGCCTCAATAAGCTCTATAATATGGTATATTTGGTTTTTCATTTCGGAATAGGTCACCTTATCCGACAAGGTTCTTTAAAACCGTTCTACGAACTTTTGGTTTGCCCTGAGTATTTTGTAAAACACGATTGTTCAAGTATAGAGATAAAAACTTAAGTTCTCATCCCTACACATCACAATAGACGCTAGCTAGAGATTATCACAAATTGTAAGAAATATTTTAGTCACCGATCATGATAAGCTATCACAGATTGTATATCAATAATGTCCTTTTTATAATTCCATATTGCATAGCTGGAAGATTACGTGGAAACATAAGGAAAAAATGTGCTTCGAATGAAACAATCTCTTTGTAGACTAGAATTTTCGAAATTTCTGTAAAACCACATCCACAACTCGTAATTCAGTTATAATCAATTCTGATATCTTTGAAAAGTTTTATGAACTATCTTTCAATTTGCAAAACTTACTTTCATTAAATGTTTGTGAGGTATTTTCATCAGTCATTGGTGGTGGTGGTGGTGTTACCATTTTAGAAATATGTTCTTGAATTGATTCAATTGGTTCTTTTGGTATCTTGAATAAAAAAAAAATAATCAAACATATTTATAAATTATAAACAATAACAAACTTCATTAATTATTGATGTAATTTGTATTTGTTGTTCTTTTTTCTGACGTAATTCAAATATATATGTACTAAGAAATTTTTCATTATGAATTAATTCAACAAAATAAATATCTTGATCTTTTGAAAAAATTTTCATATTAAGTCGTTCTGTTTCAAAATCTCTTAAAAGTATATAACGTTCTTCATCAGTTAATTTAATATTAACTAATTTTATTTGTACACTTTGCCATGGAATATTTCGTAAAATATCTGGACATTGACTAAGACGATCTATTGAAACAATTTCTTCATTACCAAAATCAACAAAATATACATGAAAACCAGTTTCTAACGAAAACAAAAACAAAAATTTATTTTACAACAAAAAAGATTTTTTTTTATACCAGAAACATTTTTAATCCATGCTCGATACCAAAGATTATCACCTTCATATTGTGCACAAACAAGCATATTTGATATTGGTTGTTTAATTAATGGTTGTTTATTTATATTCCAATCTTTAAGTATATTCATAATTATTGAAAGACAATCAGATATTAATAATACATGAAAACATTCAGATTCTAAATCAACAGTTGTTAATTGTACAGAATAAATTTCTGATAGATTTATTTCAGGTTTATTTATTTCATTATCGAAAGATTTTGAAATCTATTTTAAAATAGAAAAAAAACAAAAATTAGATTAAATGGCTTGTTTATTTTATTACTATTGTTGTTGAGGATAATGATTGTGGTAATATTGCACGTATTTCAGCATTTAAATCTCGTTTATCTAAATTAAGTTGTACATATGGAATATCATTTTCAATACGTAATACAATCATTTCAAGTTTAACATCAAGAACTTAAAAAATATGAAATAAAAAATTTAATAAAAATCTTTTTTTTTGTTTTTAACTATACCTAATATTTCAAGTATAGCATTTGTTTGTTCATCAGATAGTTTATTTTCAATTGATATTCCATCCAAAATACATTTAACACATAAAATAGGATCTTTATAATATCTAGATAAATAAAAAAGATAATATTATTGAGAATTACTATAAATTGAAGAAATGAAATTAATCCTTAAGAGTCGAAGTAGCTTCCGCTTACAAAAAAAAATGAGAATCTAATTAGGAAAAACAGAGATTATGGATCCTCAGTATACTCATAGTATAGTTAAAAATAATTACCTTCTTCTTATTCTCAATCTATGCAACCTTCTTTGGCAGGAATATCCATCCCTGTAAAAATTCGGAATTTCAATCTGAAACTTTGCCTTTAGATAATACTTAATATGCTCTGAAATGTTCACTTAGAACGAATGTTTTCTTACTGAGATATTCAAAAATCAGCTAAATTTTGCTAAAAACTTCAACATTCTGTATCTCGCGAAAGAAACAACAATTGTTCCTGAAAATTTTGAAACTTCCTAAACACTACTAGAACTATGTATGAGCCAAGTTTCATATTAGAAATACATTGTTTTGATTCTCACCGATGATCATGGCACAATTTGTCAGTAGATCGGTTAAAAGATTCTAGAACGTTGACATTGAATAACTTGATGATAGGCTTAAGAGTGTAACGTAAAATAAACTACACTGTATGTCGCATTTCCAAATTTAGGGAAGAAAGATGTTATTGAAAAAAGTCATCAGTTCTAACAGATGTTTTACTATGCCTGACAACCACCTGAATACTACATTTTAGTCTAGGTATGGTCTCGAAAGTCATATCAATCCAGAAAAATTTTTAAAATCTAGATAAATATTTACTCATTTGGTAATGGACGAATTTCAAGAATTGAATCACACCAACCCGTATTACCCCTTAATTTAAAAATAAATATATAAAAAATAAAAAGTAAAATATATTTTACCAATCAATATATTGAACATGAACACGATTTTCATCAATTTCTAATATACGAGCTCGATACCAATCACCATTAAAAAGTGCAGCACAAAATTGTCCAACAACTAATCTAATAAAAAGAAACAAAAAATCACTCCTTCCATAGACTGTATATCAATATCTATATGAACTAATTATTTCCTTGTTGTATTTTTTTTAAGAATTAAATAAAAAAGAACGGATGAAAAAATTATTTTTTTTTCTTTTTACTTTGATTTATAAGAATTTGCTTGAATTTTTGTTAATTGTTCATGTTTATTCATTTGTGTTATAAGTAATGTTGCATTAACATAATCATCTAATGTAGCTACATATATTATATTAGGTACTTCAAGATTTGATAAATAAACACAATAATTTTTATTTATTATAAATAAATCATGTTCACGAATATTCATTATTAATTCTAAATAATAAAAAATTTTTCTTTTGTTCATATAAAAAAAAATATATTGTTTTTACCATTACGTAATGAATTTTTATCATTTTGTTGTTCAATATTTGTATTATTCCATAATGTTTTATTATTAACTAATGTATCTGATTCATTTATATTTAAAGGTGTATTATTTGTTTTTAATCGTATTGTATTTATTGGTGAATGTTCATTAGTTGATCGAAAACCATTAAATCGATTTTGAATATTCGATGATGATATATTATTATCTTCATGTAATTCACCATTAGTACGACTATTGATATTAAATTTTCAAAAAAACAAAAAAATCTTTGAATAATAAACTTATTACTCACAATCCATTTTGTGATCGATCAATATTATTATTACCCAAACGTGTCTTAAAAAAAAACCCATTATTTAAAATAATAAAATTTAATATATTTTTACTGTTGAATGATTAACACGTAGAGTAAATCGATCAATAATAAAATTATTCATAGTTTCAACAGCTTTAATACAACTATCTGATTCAGCATAATTAACAAAACTAACACAAAAAAAAAAAGGAAATATTTCTTAATTAAAAATTTAAATCCTACCCACAACTACCATCAAAATTTGGATTATTTGGTAAAATTTTACTTGATATAATACGACCAAATTTAGAAAATAATTCTTCAAGTTGACTCTAACAAAAAAAAAAAAACAAAAATCCAATGATATATTAAAATAATTTTTTATTCATATGCAAAAAAATTTTACTTCAGTATAATTTGTTGGTAAATTTTTTATAATAATACTATTAATACGTCTTTAATTAAAATTAAATTTTAAATAAATAACTTTGTTTTTTGTTTTCTATATTTACCTTCCGTAATCGTTCATAGTTGAACTTTTAATTTTATAAATTGTAAAAAAAAAAGAAATGGGGAAAAAATATCGATATTATATTAAATTTACCACGATAGAGGTATATAAGAAATATATTTATAGAATGATCAATAAATGGATTGGTTAAGTTCTACCAAACCAAAAGAATCATAGTTAACTTCGTCAAAACAAAAATAGAAGCGGCGATAATGAGAGAAAAAAAACACGTTTGTGCATTTTTTTTTCTGTGTTCTTCATTTTTCAATATAACATCTGACTACAAAATTTGTTACATTTTTTTTCAAGGCGAATCAATTAGCGACAGCTGTACCTCATCGTAGACAAATACAGAAGAAAAACCACAACTAGTTGACAGACCTTCTTTTTTAATATAGATTCTTGTCACATACGAAAAAGAGAGGTATTGATTAATTTTTTTTTTGTTTTATGCAAAAATATTCATTATCTTATTTTTTTTTTATAGATTATATTTGTTCCTCTTTTTCAAAAATAAAACATAATTTTTTAATATGTCTTTCTTCAGTCGACTATTTAAATTTCGAATATTCGTATGTTATTTTGTTTTTCTTTGAATATTATTAAAAAAGAAAAAGTCGATTAATTCAATCTTATAGAAATTTCGTACGACTCTTGCCGAAGAACTTGAAGATCTTCATTCAGTATGAATAGTTTTTTGAAAATTAATTCTCTTTATTTCGTTTTTTTTTTTTAATTTTTAGGAGTCACTCCATTTACAGCACAGTTTAACTGAAATACGTCTGCTTCAACGAAAATGGACGAAATTATTTGCTATCTATGCTGTTATTGCGTATTTAATTGTGAACATTGTTTATTTTACTCTTTTTCTTTCACATGATTATATTGTTCGTACTTATGCAGTTCTGTTTTCTTTAACACTTGGAGCTTTGTAAGTATTTTTTTTTCTTTCTTGTAAAAACAAAAAAAAAAACCTCTTGATATTGATTTATATTAAAAACAAACAGACTTTATGGAATACATTGGCTTATCTGTTGGTATTTTCGAACTACTATTCAAATGAAAGGTCAGTGAATATATCAGATAGAGAGAAAAAAAAGTCTTATTATTATTTCGATTTTGTAGAAGATCGATTAGCATTGTTCAAAGATCGAAAACAAGAATTGGTAAAAGAATTATATATATATATATAATTTCTATTAGATATTTGTTGATTTTGTTTTTTTTTTTAGATTGAAGAAGTAAAAAATAAGGAAACATATGCAGTAGCTAAAAATATATTAGAAAAATATGGTGAAACAGTAACATCAGACGTTCGACCAACACAAGTGGAAAATAATGATAGAAGTATGTCGAGAAAAAAAGAAACATAACGAACATGTATTTGATGAAATATAAGAAATAAAACTTCAATTGATTAGATAAGAAATGGACTTTATATTTGTTATTTATAGATCTACGTCAACGTGTATCAATCAAACCAACACCACCCGGTTCCAATAAATCTTCTACTCCTGGTAGAATATGTTCTTATTTTCATATAAAAGTTAACTACTGAATATTTTCTTTTAGTTCCATCACCTAATATTGGTACATTAGAAACGTTTAATCCACAAGCATCAGCAACTAATGGGCCAAATCGTCCAACTTGTATGTATTTTTTTTTGTTTAATATGATTCTTGGAAATTATAGTTTTAAATATTATATAGTTAATGCTACACCTGGTAGATTACCACGAGCAGTTTTACCACCACAACGAACATTCTTGGGAACAATTCTGGATGCTATTGTAGGTGATGGTCCATCAAAACGGTGAGTTAATCATTTTTATTTTTATATTAGAATGCAAAATCAGTCGGAGTTTTGCATATTGTAGTTTAATATGTGACAAACGTTTACATGAACGATGGAAATTTCGATTTCGGTAGAAAGCTATTATATATAGGATGAGGGTTTTTCTCGTTCCAAAGGTTTAAGGATTTATTATTTGCTTTATTTATTTTCTTTGTATTAAATAAATTTAATTCATATTTGTTTTTGTTTTCATTTAGCTATGCATTAATCTGTAAATCTTGTAATAGTCATAATGGTTTGTTTTTCTCTTAAAATTTAATAAATATAAGAAATGAATGTGTTTTTATCTAGGGATGGCATTAGAAGAAGAATTTGAATATATATGTAATATTATTAATAATAATTTAATATTAAATAATAATTTTTCTATATTTAGCTTTTCGTTGTGCATATTGTAATTATTTTAATAGTGCACGTAAACAAAAGCCTGTCTTTCAAGGTAATATTGTTGCACATGATCCTCAAATAATAACAAGTCAATCACAAAATGAATCTAATATTGAACATAGAGAATCATCTAATTCTAATGAAGGTATTTATTTTATTTTATTTTGTAAATAATCAAAAATTTTACTTGTTAAATAGATAATATATCAAATAATACAGATTCGAATGTTATACGTCGATCAATTAATATCCCAGCTTCAGAAGAAACTAATGAATCTCAATTTCGTTCTACATTAGTTGAAAAACAACGAGAAAATAATCTCACATCATCATCATCCGAAGAAAATTGATCGAAATAAATAAATAACAGTAATATTTATTCTTGCCTGTAATCAAGCATCTTTATCTCGAACATTTGTGCAGTAATTTATGCATTTTATGAATCAAAAAATTATTAATTAACATACCAAACAGTGAATTTCTTTTCTTTTTTTTTTCTTTTTTTTTTTAATTACTGGTGGTTATTCCTGTATATTTTGTGCTTCTATCTTATGAAATAAAATGAAAAATGAATCTCATATTATCATAACTTATCTGATGCAATAATATTAATATTTGCATCGTTCATAAGAAAAAAAAAAAAATTAAAATATATAATCAGATAGAATATCTTTCTGTTTTTTTTTGTCTAGTTTTATTATAAATTTACAAGAAATTAAATAGTTTTGAATAAAAAAATTCTTTTTTTTTTGTATAAATTTAATTACATTGTTTTTAAGTGTCATCTTCTGTCGATGAGAATTTGGAAAAACAATTGTCAATAGAAGAAAAATTTAATAAGAAGTATGTTATATCAATATAATTTTTTATGCTAATATATTAATGAGATAAAAACGTTTTAAATAAGATTCAATTCAGTATAAAATATTTTCAGAATGCATTCTCATTTTAATGTCTAAAAGTTAAATATTTAAATTGAATCATTAGACTATTTGTGGTTGCTTCTTTTTTTTTTTTAGTGAATTAAAGCAACGACTGAAAGCTGAAGAACAAGTACAAAAATAAACAATTATACAACAGTACAAATGGTGAAGTAACTTCTCGTAATGATCAAGAACTTAATTCTCATGTAAGTCTAAGTTTTTTTTACCTACAGAGTAAAAAAAGAAACAGGTCTTTCATATTTTCCTGCATGAAAATTGGTACAAGATTTACCTATTAAAACAGAATGTAACTGTTTTAAAGTTTTCATCCAGGGATATTTTTCATAATATATAGGCAAAAGTATAGGGAGGTCAGAATTTTGAATCGGATCAAAACTATCAAATGGACTAACTTTCATAAAAAAAAATGCATAAGTTTTGAAGAAAGTTTTTTCGGGATATCAGACTTTTAACATATAGACCCTTTTCCATTGGTGGAGTGTAGATCATTTCGAAAATACAAAGTTTTCTGAAAATCTAAAACCTTTAGAAAAAATTCGATAGTTTAGTTATATTCAAATCTTTTTACAGTGTTTATTAGAACACTATAAAGTATCTATAGCCCAAAAAAATCATTGATATCGGAAGAGGCATTGAAAAGAGGTTTCCTCATTAGCAGTATACATTTTTATTAATTTCTGTAGCTGGTAAAATTTAATTTAATTTATATAAGTATAAAAGGTATAATACTTTTTTTATTCTAAATAGGACGTGTATATTCAAAACGTTCTTCAGAACGTAAACTTTATTTCTATGATCTGCATAGTGATTCAATTAAAATTCAAATAATAGCTGATCTACGGTAAAACTCTAGCTAAACCATTGATAACATATTTGAATATGAAATTATTTATGTGTATTGTATCTGAACTTTATCTTAAAAATACAAATTAATTTTTTTAATAAAATTTTTCTAGATTATTAATATGACATATACTGATTTAATAGAAATAGCAGAAAATTTTATTTCTAGTCTTGTAACAGATGAAAAATTTCCATTAGCAATTGAATTTTTCAATAACAGGTATTGTAAAATATGAAAAATCTTATCAAAATTAAAATGTTTTTCTTTTTGTTTTTCTAATAGAATCAAATAAATTTGTTGATAATTTGAATGTAGAAATTCAATTTTTGTAAAACATTTGAATATGGTCTTTCACCAACAGCTGATTGGAGTTTAGGAATTGATCGTTTGACTATGATACTTACTAATACAATTAATATGAAACTAAACAAAAACAAAAATCGAACATAAATTTATTCACATATGATTCAATTAAATATTTCATTCTAGGAAATTTTATTATTTTCAGTTGTTAAATCATACAAAGAAGATGAAAAATATATGGTTTATGTATTTTGAAATATCTAGAAATAAAAATTTTGTTTTCTACTGATATTAATTGTTTCTTTTTCGTTATATAGCAAAAAAAAAGTATCGAATACATTCTAAAGTTTGACATGATTTTTTTTTTATTGTGTGACGTGTTCGTCCTTTTTTAAAATAAAACCAATTTATCCTATGAGATAGTCTTCAATATTTAACAAGGGTAGTATCCCAAATGATTAATTTGCGAAAATTTGTGCTTTATGTAAGCCCTAATGAGTTTTGAATATACGGATAAGAGTTCAAACCTTTAGCTTATTCCTGATGAGTTATTACACTCTTATAGCTAAAGTTGTGTTAATATTAAGTAAAAAAAACTCTTGTTCAAATTTCGACTTTGAACTTTCTATAGAGACTGAACCCATTGAAAATAGTTTATTATGAAAATGTTAAATATACAATTATGACAACAGATTGTCTTTTACACCGACAGCTTTGAGATTAAAGCGTACATTAAGATTTACAATAAACTACTTTCGTTAATAAAAAAAAGACGAACTGGAAAAATACAATATTTCAGCAGTCTCTTCTGAAACCTTTGCATTTTCGTTAGAAATGAGACGATCCAATAATTTATTCGAAAAAAAGAAACGTGATTTTCAGGTACAAATAAGGGTTAAACTGCCCCTAAAAAAGATTTTCTAATCCTGCCTCTTATCTATAGTAACGTTATAGAATAAGTAATAGATCATATTATCGTATTTAAATGAAAAAAAAAAAAACGAGATAATAAAAATATACAAGAAATATAATATGAACATGATTTTGATTATCTGTAATGAACCATAATATATTCTGATCAAATATCTAACTTTTTGTTTTTTGTCTTGCATGTTTATAAATTAATAAATGATTAGTTAACTAATAATTATTAATAAAATTAGTATGAATAAATTTTACAAGATTATTATTGACTTTGATATTATTTTATATGAATTTGAAAAATAAAACATATTAAATAATAAAATTTTATTCTAAAACTCGTTCTTAACATTATTTTCTCATACGATGATAATTATTATTGTTAATTTTAAATTTCAATCGTTTAAATAATCTTTAATTGAATTTTGTCTTTTTTTTAGATAATCTTATCTTAGTTTTTATTAAATATTGTTTTTTTTAGTTTCATAGGAAAAATTAATTTTCTTCAATGAAATTTATTTATATTTCAATATTGATGAAAATTTATTAAACAAAATGCATTGTGTTGATTTTTCGACAAAATACATTCATTTTCGAAATATTCATTTTTAAAAAATTTTCAATTGTTTATTGAAAAAAACTTGTAATCTCGACAATTTTTCGTATATTTAAAATTAAATTTGTAGAGTAAACAAAAAAAAAGCCTGTTGGCTCATCATTTTCAAATCGGTTAAATGAGATTCTTACTATTCTCGAACCAAAAATATTTCTAAGTTCATATTTAGATTTTGATGAAGTTTATAGTTTTTAGCTTGTTTAAAATAAAAAAAAATTGAATTAATTATTTCAAAGATCTTATTTTCTTTTCAAATCTTTAGATGGCAACGTTACTTACTCGACGTTTAATATCGAATATTTCATTAACTAATAATCGACAATTTTGGAGTTGGCTTAATTTTGTTTGGAACAAGTAAATTACATTAAAACTTAGAAGTTTTACAAAAATTAAAATTATTATTCAGTTCTCAAAAATAAAATCTTCAGAAGACTAAGCAAATATAATATGTGTTTAGACAACATGAGACATCTTCGAGTTTTTAGTTAAGATACAACAATTTAATTCAAGATCAATAAATAGTTTGTCTATAATCACATTTTGAAGAACATTATTTGTTCTATGAAATGTTTAGAAAATTATATTGACACGTTCTAGGTGTTGAATAATTAAAATTTTTTCTTAACAAAATTTCATAAACAACCATTTCTTTTTTTCTATTTGAATTGTATTTAACACTTGCGGAAGAAATCAATAAAAAAATCTTATTAAATAATATTAATACTAATTGTATCTATACAATTTTTCAAGTTGATCTATTTATAGATAGTGCTTGGTGGAAGAACTAATTGTAAATAAAGAAAATAGACACGTGTGTGTGTATATATCATATTTATAGATCAACTATATTTAATGAGTTCTTAAATGTCAAATTAATAAGAGACAACGAGTGCAAAGAATTGTTGAAAGATTGACATAATTATATTTTTTTTTTGTTGGAAAATTTAATTTTAAGACTTGTCATTAATAGAAAAATTCTAGTAAATAAATATTCTATAGATATGATCAAAAACGTGTTCAAGAAATTGGTCCTGATCGTGCTTGTGCTGAATGGTTATTACGATGTGGTGGTTCAGTACGTTTTAAAAATTGGAATTCAATAACATCAAATTATAATGCTATACCAAGTGGTGATCCGGGACAAAATAAAATTGAAGAAATACGTGCTATTAAAGCTTGTATTACATCGGATGGTTTTGCTTATTTAGGTTATTTGATTAATCTATTTAATAGTTTGTTTGTTTGTTTTTGATATTCTTATTGTTCTATAGATGGATTAACTGATTTAAAAAAAATTCATTTAGAAAAATGTGATTTAATTGGTGATGGTATGTATGATTTTTTTTTTTTTTTTTGAAATTAATAAAATTAATTTTAGGTTCAATTATACGATTTCGAAAAGTAAATGATACATTAGAATCTTTAGTATTAATTGATCTTGTTCAAATAAGTGAAAATGGTCTTGGTAATTTAACTGATTTAAAGTATGTATATTTTATTTTATTTTTATAAAATTAATGTGATTCCTTTTTTTTAGAAATTTAAAACAAATCACTTTGGCGCGTTTACCCTGTATTAAAAATCGTGATGGAATAATTAAATTATTACATAATGAATTACCAAAATGTACTATTAATTATGATGATAATTATCCATCTGCTCCTGAACTTAAAGATAAATGAACAAAAATTCCTTTTTTTTTTTTTTTGGTGTGAATGTTTATTGATGTCATACAAATAAAAACTTCATGTCCTTGTTTTAGCTATTGATTGTTCCATTTTTCCTATTCGATCCTTTATAGAAGAAAAAAAACATTAAGAATGAAAATATTTTTTTTTTTTGATTTATTACTTCGATAATTTTTACATGTATAGTAGCTTCAATCATACGTTGTCGTAATGCATGAATTCGTCTAATATATTCTTCTATTTCACGATCACCAGGACATTGTTTATAAAGAGTAGCTAATTCTAAATATAGAAAGATTAAAAATAAATAAATATTAGAACAATAGATCTACCGTCATTGATTGCTGTTAGACAATTACCAAGTGCAAGTTGACGATGTCTAAAATAGAAAAAAAAAACCTATTCATTTTGTTCTATATATAGAAACAATGACATACCGAACTTGTTCTACAACTCCATCAAATTCTTGAATAACAGGTACAAGAAAATTGACAAAATCATTTGGAATGGTTGACATTTTATTCAATTCATAAATTGACACTCATCATATCTTTTGTTCTTTTCGACTTAAGGTTTTATTTCTATTGGTTCGTAAATGAGTCGGAGGCTCGGATCAATTATCAATGGTATGAACTACACCAATAGTTTATCAAAAACAACAATGACATATTTGTAAGTATAATCTATAAATTTAATCAAACTAATTAGTTTCCTAAGCTCTCAAAAATATATAATTATCATTTAATCTTTCATCTTATTATGGTGGTTTTTTTTTGTTTTTTTGTTCTTTTAAGATATTTATTTAAATGGCATCGACAGAAAAAACGTCTGCCGATAATTTTAATATACCACCATCATCTGGTAATAATGATGATAAAAAATCATCATCAAATAATGAAAAAGATTCAGGTTTTGAATGTAATGTAAGTTTAATATTGATTATATTTTTAACATATAAACAAAAAAAAAAAACTTCGTTTTAGATTTGTCTTGAAACAGCTCATGATGCTGTTCTATCATTATGTGGTCATCTATTTTGTTGGCCATGTATTCATCAATGGCTTGAAACTCGTGCACATAATCCAACATGTCCTGTATGTAAAAGTAGTATATCACGTGAAAAATTAGTGCCTATTTATGGAAGAAATTCACCACAAACTGATCCAAGGTATTAGATTATTCCAAATAATATCTATATACATATATATATACATTTATAGAAATACTACACCACCTCGACCGGCTGGTACAAGACAAGAACCACGTCGAAGTCGAGTAAATAAGTTTTTAAAAATTCCAAAAAAAATTCATTTATTATTTTTGTTTTTTAGAGTTTTGGTTTTGGTGATGGTGTTAATTTTCAAATGTCATTTGGTGTTGGTGCTTTTCCATTTGGTCTATTTCAAACAACATTTGCAACAAATAATCATAATAATAATGATTATCAATATGATCTACGTATAATTTCAAAGGAAATTGGTTTTTGTGTTTTATAAAAAAGAAAATTATTTTATTTTTATTTAGCACCACCTGATACACCTGAACGTTATCATCATGAGTTATTATCACGTATATTTCTTGGAATTGCATTAGCTGTCATTTTGTTTATTATTTTTAATTGATCTAATGTTATTAAAATTTTGAAAAGACAAAAAAAATAAACATCGTAATTTATTTTTATTCTGCTCAAAAAAAGTAATCGAAGCTTTTTGTTTTCATCTGTCTATGTATTTTTATGTGCAAAAAATCGAAACAGCTTTACTTTAAAATGTATATTTTTCGTTTGTTTCTCTTTTGGTATTTTTTCATTTCGATAAATGTGTAAATATATATATATATATACAAAATGACAGTATTCATAAATGGGTAAATTATTTTTATTTTAGATTAGAAAAATTTTAGATTTTATTTCAATTCATAAGAAAAAAAAAGTGAGAAAATAAATCTAATTCGTGATTAGTTTTTTTTTTACAAACTAATCGTCAATTTCTGAAAGGTATATTACACTATTGATAATAAGCTTGTAAAAATTTTTAGTTATTAAAAAAAAGGAACTTGTATTCAGTTTGTTTTATTACAGATTTAAGAAAAGAAACTTCTTCAAGTATGAAATAGCTTTTCAACCGAGACGATATTTATTTAATAAGTATTAGAATGGTTTAAGTTTCCAGGGATTTGTTTTTGAGATATCGAAATTTGATTAAGTCTTTTAACACATAGCTTCAATATTTTTTCTCGTGTGTAAAAGCAAATATTGCTCAGTTCATCGAGAACTTTATTCGTATAAAAGTCGTTTTTTGTTTTTCACACGGCCACAGATTTTTGTTTGAAGAAAAATCAGTAAAACTTCAATATTTCAAGAGCAAAAAGATCCGGAAAACCTTTGCACGTTACTTAACTGTAGTCTATCATTTATTTTGAACGAAACTCTATAAGAAGACCTCGAATTGTCAGGGTTTATCTATGTTAGACTGAACTATCGATGTACCGAGGAAAGTCTAATTGAGAGTTTAATCGAATAGCAATAACAATGTTATTTATCATCATCAGATAACATTATATCAATTTTCGTCCGTTGAAAAAAAAAAAGAATTCATTTATGAAAACAATCTATTTTTATTATATTTATTTTGAACTTAAGATAATTTCTGTTCTATTGACTTTAATAAAACTCTTCTACTTATTATTAGATAATAAGAATACTTCGGTCAATAATATGAATATATAAGTAATATTTAAGGAAAAAAGAACATAAAAAGCATCAACATTTAATAGATTTCTTAGTGAGTTCTTATAAAAATAAAGAGTCCAATTTAGAATGATAATTTTCATATGTTTTCTTCTATTCTATCTTTGAAAACATCAAAATATACGATTACAATGAAAGACATTGACATTATTTTATTGATTAGGGAATAACACGTCTAATTCATGATTGAAAAAAAAAAAAAATTTTAATTAATTTTTTTTTTTTTTTTTTGAAGACATAGAAAATCTGTATGTGATAATCAGTTCAAATTATATAAGAATTCGATGATTCATGTTATTGATTCCATTAAATCAATATCGATATATTAATCTTTATATGTAATCTAATAAATATTTAAATGAGATTAATTAGGAAAATTTATTTTTTGTAATTAATAAATCATTTTCAAAAGATTATTTTTTTAATATGAAAACAATGTAGATTATATTCATTCAGACTAATTTATGATATAAAAGAAGTCTCTCAAGAGAATATCATAGTTTTTATAAATAATATATGCAATCATTGAAAATAATATTAACAAACATATCATCATTTATATATATATATGTTTTCAATCTTTTGTTAGTTTTCATTAGACAAAAAAAATTTTCGTTATTAGTTTTTTCAGAAAATCTATTTTTCATTTTTCTATAATGACTATCTATTTAATCAAAAAATCTAATTAAAATATAACCAATAGGAATTCTTTTTAGGGTCTAAAAATATTTTCTTCATATATATATATATATTAGTAGGATTATACACTCATTTTATTCTTAAGCTTTATATCATGCAAAATCACATATGCTAAGTTTATATATTATAATATATAGAATGTTTTTTCTTTTTACCTTTATGACCTTAGTTGATTAGACTATCAATAAATAATTTTTCAATTGATATTAGTATTGTATAGATGGAAATATTTCTAAAAAAAAAGAAAATTCCTATCACTAAGAGATTGCTATTTTTTATTTATATGAATATTTTAATACATTATATTACGGAAATGAAGAACTTTTTGAGAAACAAATTTCTTGCTATCGTCTAAGAAATTTGTATCAATAGATATTAAAATCTAGGTTATTTTCTATAAAATGAATTTTTCTATGATAAATCAAATATAGAAAAAGAATTCTTTTCTTTCAATTCTGTAGAATCTCAACTTCTCGACAAATGAAGTCATACGATGAGAACTATAGATCTATTTTCTTTTTTTTTTTTTAGAAATAGGTCATTGTTCAATATTATTGCGTTTCCGTTTCTATTCGAGAAAACGGAAGTTAAACTATGTGAAAAACTACCCTGAGTGAAAAGCTATGCATTATTTTTATCCGGCTCGTAACAAACATGAATGTAGTTATATTCTAATAAGAAGCATCTGGATTCACGAGCCAATCATCATTGAAGAGATATTAAATTTCTTGACTTTTATATGACAAATAGAAAATTGCTCGGACGTTTGCCGGAACAGAGAGCATAGGCCATATCCGTTCTCCTGAATTTTCCAAAAAAAAAAGAAAACAAAATGAGATATGCTTTTTGACTTTTTGTAGAAGAAACTAATGACGATAATGATCAGAATTTATAAGTATCGGCCATCGTTTCCTCTCATTACCGGATGTTAGATGTTTCTTCCTGTATTCGTTAATGATTAATTTTTTTTTTCATTATAATAGTTGCATATTGTATTAAGTTGTATTCTAATTAATTTGTTAATAATCCCGTTAAGAAACATTGTTTTTTTGTTCTTCATCTTATGTTATATGCAATATTCTTATAATTATTTTCTACAATAATTATGATGAGAAAAATGACGGTATTTCTTTCCATTCCTTCTCTTCGAAAAGTGCCTTCTTTTTCTCATAATAGAAGAAGTGGAAGGAGAATAAACACATATGCATGATTTATTTTTCCTGAGTATCATCATCATACGAAATAACACGCACTTGTGGACAAAGTTAGTTTTGCCGAAAGGCATGATTGCTATTATATTTTACCCTTATATTAGAATCCTGTTTTCGCTATTATGAGTATATTAAGTACGGAAAATAAAAAAAAAAATCTATATGCATTGTCTGCATATAAAGCTGTTAAATATCTGTCCATATGATACAAACAAACAAAAAAGCAACAGCGTGCTTGATTTATTTAGTGGATTATATGAAGAAGAGCTGAATGCTATTGTAAAAGCGATCGTGCATAGAAGTATACGTTGACATGTGGAAGAAAAAAAATAGAAAACAAATCATCATGATGCCTATTTTCATCATTTTTTTTTTCTTCTTTTTTTTTTTTTTTTTATTAGTTCTCATCATAGTTGATTCGGCGTTTCGAGTTAGAGAGACGAGCGCGAACACAATAGGAAAAAGGAAAGAATAAAAAACGAGAACAGAAAATATAGCAAGAAGAGAGGAAAAAGAAAAGGAACATTTGCTACTACTACTACTACTACTTCTCTAGTGATTTTAGATGATCCACACATAGAAAATCTACAGTGACAGGCGACAACCGCCGCAACAATACAATAGATGTCTTCTACTTATATTCAAACGTCATAACACCTCATCTATTCATATATATATATTATTTAGTATATCAAAAAAATAAGCTAAAATAGCAATGCTTATTAAAGAATACCGTATTCCAGTTCCTATGTCCGTCGATGAATATCGTATTGCACAATTATATATGATTGTGGTAGGTATTAATTAAATAAATAAATAATTAATTAATCGATAAAATTTTCTAATCACAATCAAAATTTTTCTTTTATATTTCTAAGTTCTCTTTATTTTAGACATATTCAATAAGCAGGAGAAGAGGTAAAAGAAATATTAATTAAACAAAAAAAAATATCAACTTAATTATAAGGGTTCATTTTGTTGCATGAATGTTTATGCTACGAAAAATTTCTTCTCTAAATTATATAAAACACTTATTTTTTTTTTTAAATTAAATTCTAATTAATAATAATAGTAATTAATATATTGGTCAGGGATAAATTAGATTCTAATTATTTATCAATAGTTGAATAGAAAAAAAAAAGAAATCTATCGTTTGTTTTTTAATTTTTATTTTGTGTGTGTGTGTGTTTCATTTAGAAAAAAAGTCAAGAAGAAACAAATGCACCTGGTAGTGGTGTTGAAATTATTAAAAATGAACCATATACAAATGGACCAGGTGGTAATGGACAATATACATTTAAAATTTATCATATTGAACGTCATTTACCAGCATGGTTTAAAGCTATATTACCAGCAAATGCTATGAAAATAGAAGAAGAAGCATGGAATGCATATCCATATACAAAAACACGTTATCGTTGTCCATTTATAGAACGATTTATACTTGAAGTTGAAACATGTTATCAAGCTGATTTTGGTACACAAAATAATATATTTAATTTAAAATCACAAGAACTTGAACAACGTACTGTTGGTTTGTATTAAAAAAATTTCTATAAAAAAAAACAAAAAACCAATAAACTTCAAATATATTTATTTTATTTAGAATTTCTTGATATTGTTCATAGTCAACCATTAGCTGATATAGCTGCTGAAAATCCAGCTTTATTTCATTCGGAGAAAACAGGTTTGTAAAAAAAAAGAAAGTATAAAGTCATTAGTTTCAAATATGATTATTTCGAATATATGACATCAGATCGATAAGAATGTCATAACTTCAGTCAAAATCCTTCTAATTAATTCTAATAAAAAGTCTTATTTTCATTAAATACTTATTGCATGGCATAGTACTTAGTAATATACATTTTCATTAAAATATGATGCCCAGCAGGAAGATATAATATTCAGTCAGACGGAATAATGCTCAGAAATATATATATAAAAAAAAAAGATATTAAAATTAGCTAAATTTATGAAGAAAAATTGATTTATCAAAAGTGAATTAGAGAACGCATCACTTTGTAATCTTAATGAGTATTTTACTTTTTTACCTTAGTCTTTTTGACATAAAAGTAATAATCCTGGCAGACAAACTTCAGAAAACGCGTTTAAACGCACAAAACCGGCGAAAAATGGATGTTTTTGGTTCACAGTCTAGGCCAATTTCTGTGCATTTAAGTCTGCTTGGGAATTATTTCAAAAGATCACAATACTTCTAATAGGATTCGAGCAGACTTCTAAGCATTACATAGTGCAGTAAATTTTTATAAAATTTCAGGTTTTAAGAGAAAGTTCTATGTGTAGTTTGATCTGAAAAGCCACCGGAATTTCACATCGATCTAAAATTCATGTAATCCAATCGATAACAACTCATCGTTCAATTTAATTTCATATACGAAGAGTTTCGATTGAATTCGAGACTTGATACATGACGATCTATATGTTTGCTTTTAGTTCATTTATCATATTTTGATTACTTTATAGTTTTTATTGTTATGATGTTTATCAAATTTTCCGAAATTCATTTAATGTCACTTTTAATTTAGGACGAGGTCCATTAACTTCAGATTGGTTTGAACAAATGAAAAAAAATGCACGTAAAGAATCAATTATGTGTGCTTATAAATTATGTCGAGTTGAATTTCGTTATTGGGGAATGCAAAGTAGATGTGAACGTTTTATTCATGAAATAGCTTTACGTAAAACAATTTTACGAGCTCATCGTCAAGCATGGTGTTGGCAAGATGAATATCAAGGTTTAACATTAATGGATATACGACGTTTAGAAGATGAAACTCAACATGAATTAAATAAACGTATGGCAAATTTTCAAAATCATAATTGTTTACCAATAACAAATTCAAATATGGAAAATGAAAATATAAAACCAACAACATCATCACTATTAGTTAATGAAATAAATCAACCATTGTCAGATATACGAAATCGGAAACACTCTATAGATAATATGAATGCTAATAGACCAAGAATTAATTCATTTCCTATTCCACCATTACCACGAGATGAAACTACTGATGATGAATATTATGATGCTGAATGTAAATTACAAAAAAAAAAAAACAAACAAATATCTCATATTTTTTTTTGTTGTATTCAAATGAACATGTCATAATTTTTCTTTTTTTCTTTTTTTTTCTTGTAGCTCATATTGATGTTATACCAAATTCACGTTCATTACGAAGTCTTAAACATTCAATAGATAATAATGAACCAATATTGTCAAATTTTGATGATGATGAACGAACATATGTTAATTCATCATTGGATGATAATAATAATAAATGTTCAATTGATTTTCTTATTTTAATTTTTTATGGTGGTATGTAAAAATAATTATTTGCATCTGTTTTTTTTTTTTATCTTTATTTTTGAATTAGGTAATGTTTTTTCAACAGAAGAATCATTTGATAGTGCAAAACAAACTGATTTTCTTAGTTTTCGTACAACATTTGATAGTGTTATACATAATCATTATTCACGATTACAAGGAAAAACAGCTATACGTTTTGTTGAATGTCGTTCAATATGTATTGAAACTATTAATTTACTTAGTAATTTATCACCATATAGAATAACAAATCTATCTTATGATATAACACATAGTGAAACATTACCAATAAATGCTATACCATTATTTGCTATATCAAATACAAATTATCAAACTATATTAAATACTGCTATTGAATCAGCAAATAAAGTTTATCAAGAATTTTTATCATCAAAAGAAGGAAAATATTTTTCTGGACAAGTAAATTATAATAATATGTGAAAAGAAATCTTTCTTTTTTTTTCAAAGGTTATTGTTATTGGAGATGCTAATGGAGCAATTTTAGCTTATGATGCATTATGTTTAAATCATAATTTTGATGATACAACTTCATTATATGGTGAAGGTAATTTTTTTTTTTTTTATTCTACTTTGATTAATTGAAAATAATGTATGTATTCATATTAATGAATATTTAAATTCGTAGTTTGTTTTTTTTTGTTTTAATATTAAAACTACTGTTTATTGTCATTTTCTTTTGTTTGATATATGAAGATGATTAAAAACATTTTGAGTAGATGACAATATTTGACATTAGTTCATTCTTTTTATCAAATTTCATACGGTTGAATGTAATCACATCTATGACATATAATTATTGATAATGATAAGCTGCTTTGCATTTATTCTAATTGAAAAACAAAAATAATTTTTTTTTTCTTAAAATTTTTACTACATAATTAGAGATAATAATTTGAAGACTATGCCAAAAAAAAAAGATTAAGATTTTAATGTTTTTTTTTTTGTTTTGTTTATATAATAGATGGTTCAACACCACGTACTCCAGCCTTAACTAAACGAATAATAACAAGTACTCAAAATGAAAATAATGATATGACATCTGTTCAATCATCAAATCGAACAATAACAAAACGTATAACAACAATTGATAATCCTGATAGTGGTGATAGCATGTAACAAAAAAAAAACAATAATTCTATATCTATTTAAATAAATGAAATAAATTTTTTTTTTATTTAGATCACGTACAGGTGATAATCTCCGTGGAAAACAAGATAATTATGGTTTAATGTTAATATTTAATGTTAATGAATTTTTTTCATTTGGTTCTCCACTTTCACTTATACTTGCATATCGTAGATTACTTACTGATAATGGTAATTTATTTTCTTAAGAATTACATTAAAAAAATATCTTTCTTTTTAAAAAAAAAATAGTTGTTCGTCCATATTGTGGACAATTGTATAATTTATTTCATGCATGTGATCCAAATGCATCTCGTATAGAACCATTAATACAATCCGAATTTAGCCAGATACCATCTTGTTGCATTCCTCGTTATTCACAATTTCCATTAGGTGATGGTGAATCAACATTACTTGGTAAGACAAAATATTGATGTATTTTATTTATATATATATATGTATCTATAGTTGAATATGTTCATCAATATTCAAAATTATTTTTAAATAATGATTCAAAAAGTTCATCATTAATAAATTCAGCTCGATCAACAACAAATGAAAATAATTTAATTAATACTGATACAATTTTTTCTAATAGTAATTGATATTAATCTTTTTTTTTTTAAATTTTTTGAAAAAAAAAAAAATCTTTTTGTTTTGTTAGTTCGACAAATTTGGTGGGGTTCAAGACGTGTCGATTATATTGTTTATTGTCCTGAATTTTTAATGAGTCAACCAGCACATGTTTTACCTATTGTCTTCCATTCAAGTTATTGGGAATCTCGTGATGTTATGTCATTTATTTTACGACAAGTAAAAAATTTCTTTGAAACATTTTTTTGTTTTTATGAAATATTAAATCTATTTTTTTTTCCTTTTTAGATTACACGTAATCAAGAAAATTATCTTTTAAATAGCAAGAAAACAGATAAAAATCGTTCATTATTTGCTTCTGAACAAATAACTGAACGTTGGTTACATCGTTCAACAGCTGTAAAAATTCGAGTAATTTTAATTTAATTTTTTTGTTTTAGAAAATTTGCTTTTTTTTTTTCTTCTTAGAATTTAGCTCCAAATCATCGTGCAAATGATATTATAATTGTTGATGCTAAACCACAAACAATTTCTGCTAAATTTCATTATGGACCTATTGATATGGTCTGTTTAGCTAATGAAAAAATTAATATTTATGTTATGAGATCAGCTCCATATGGTGAATGGACATTACTTGATACTATTGAAACAGATACACATGGCCGTATACGTTATACCATTCCGATCGAAAAAAAATTATCATTAGGTTTACATCCTGTTAAACTTGTTGTTCGGTAAAAAAAAAGAATTTATTAAAATAAATTCATATTAAGCTAAATCTGTAATTATGTTACTAAGAACGTTTTTTTGTAAAATGCTGATAAGACAAAAAATATTTCAATAAAACAAGGAAGTGACACATAATTAACAGAATCTTATGTTTTATTCGTTGTAGATCACTTCTCAACGCATAGAGATTTTCACTTGAGACTTATTCTATGGAGAATTTCCTATTCGACAAGCTTTTTGTTTTTTGATTGATGCAAAATTTAAAAGATCCAGAATATGTCTCAAAATATTACTAGGTGTTAATTCAAAGCCTTTTTTTTTTCTTCTGCACCATAGCAAAGAGCACGAAATTTTTTATTCATCAATGTCAACTACTTAACTTTTTTATATAATTCTTTAAGATGAAGTTTCTAATATATTTGAAAGTGCCCTAAAGAGAATAAAAACATTTTATGCTGTTTATTATATAAAAAATTAGTATCAAATTTCTAAGAAGTGGAGTCTCTAGACAACTTTTTAAAGAAAAATCTATGTATGGAATAGTAGAAATTGATTAAAATTAGATTATTATTAATAGAATTCTAGTCGATTTATATAATATTTTCGTGTCAGATAGGCTAACTAAAAAATATTATGATATTTTCAATTTTCTAAAACAATAATTTATCTCTTGAGAATTCACTATAAATGTACTCTTTGTTTTTATCTAGTGGTGATCATACAACAGTTGATCTTTATTTAACTGTATTACCACCAAAAAGTGAAGCAGTTCTATTTAGTATTGATGGTTCATTTACATCAAGTTTTTCTGTTAGTCATCATAATCCTAAAGTACGTCCAGGTGCTGTTGATGTTGTTAGGTAAATTGATTAAAAAAATAAAACTTTATTTAAAAAAAAAACAAATCTCATATTAATTATAAAGATATTGGCAAGATCTTGGTTATATTATTATATATGTAACTGCACGTCCTGATATACAACAACGTCATGTAATTCATTGGCTTGCTCAACATAATTTTCCTCATGGTTTGTTAAGAACAAAAAAAAAAAATGACAAAAGTAAATCATTTTTTTTTCATATAGGTTTAACATTATTTAATGATGGTATATGTCGTGAACCAATTAAACATAAAGCTGAAATGATAAGAAATCTTGTTGATAATGCTGATTTAATTATTGCTGCTGCATATGGTTCATCAAAAGATGTTCCAGCTTATCAATTAATTCATGTACCAGCTGAACGAATATTTGTTGTTGGAAAAGTAAAACATCGTTTACAAGGACAAGCATGTTTTATTGTTGATGGTTATGTTATGCATTTAGGTAAATAATAAAAAATAACAAAAATTTTATTGAAATAGACAAGAATTTTTGAAAATGCATTTAAACACCCTTAGCAAAAAAAAAAAAAAAGGTAATTTTGTCATATTATCTAGAAAAATATTCTCTTGGATATTTTTTTTAAGCATCTTCCCTTCGTGTTTTATTGCATTTTTGAAAAATCTTGTCTTCTGAAGCATTTCATAATTTTATGAGAAATAAAATCAAATATTTCTCTTATTCTATTTTAATATTTAGAAAAAAAAAGTACACAGGTAAGTTAATAGGTCAATATTCTAAATTAACTATTTGATTATGCTAAAATCTCAAAAAAAAGAATACCAAATATTATTTCATTTATTATTCAAATTTATGGGCAAAAATTTTTGCTTTCTCTCTATACTAATACACCTTTTTTTTAACAAAAAGCAAAAAAAATAAATTTTCCTATCTTTTTTATTTTATTACAAGTTAGCTTTATTCTTATTATGATCAATATATAATCATTTGCTAATCTTCCAAAAAAAAAAAAAAACGAAAAATTCTATTCACTTGAATATTTAATATCAATATTTTGTAAGAATAGATTAAATAAACTTTTTGTTTTTTGTTTTATTTCAGCTGAACTTTCTAAACCTGGAACAATACGTCCATCAAAATCAAATTCTCGTCATTTAATACGTCGTGCTTGTTTTAATATACCAAAATTATTAACAACATCAACTGCTCAATCATTATCAACTGTAAATTCTACAACACATCAATCAATATCACCAACATCACAATCTTATACATTTTCAAATTATAATTTATTAAATGATACATCTTTATCAACATATCGAAGAACAAGTTTACATGATCATTTAGTTGTTAGTACATTTCAATCAAAAGAAGCACCATCAAGAGGTATATCACCTCGTATGATTCGTAATACAGGAAAAAATAATGTTTATAATCCAGCATCAATTGAAAAACTATAAAACTTATTATCAAAAAATAACACTTGACATGATGTTGAATTTTTCCTCTTTTTTTGTTTTTTTTTTCTTATCTTCAATTATCTAGTCTATCGAGTTTTAGAGTTAAGTGTGTGTCGATTATTTTCCATTATTTTGTTTTTCCTTTATGTGATAAATAACAGCTGTATTGATTTTCAGTTCTTTTTTTTTTTTTCGTTTTAAGTGTCTATGTTTGCTGGCATGCAATCATATATAAACAGTTTTTTGTTTTTGGCAATTGTATATATTGATATAAATAGATAAGTTTTACTTGCTTGTTCATATTTATTCATAAGTATAAAATGGAAAAAGAGATAACATCAGTTGAACTTCAAGGTAGGAAATTTTTACTTTTCTCATGATTTTACATATAGAGAATTGTTTCTAACGAAAACATGTTAATCTTGGCCATCGACCTATCGAAATCAAAACTCATATTCAAAAAAAAAGAAAAATTTGTATTTGCACTTTTGTTTTTAGAATTATTTGATAAAGCTCATTTGGCTAAATATAGAGCTTATTGTCCTTATTCACATTTTCGGTACAAATTGAACGTATTTGTATGATTATATATTTTTTTTTATTTTAATTGAATAGAGTAGGAGCAGCTTTATTAACATCAACTGGAAAAATATATTCTGGATGTAATGTTGAAAATGCAGCATATCCATTATCAACTTGTGCTGAACGTACAGTAATTGTTAAAGCTGTGTCTGAAGGTGAAAAATCTTTTCGAAAAATTGTAATTACATCGTAAGTTTACCTTTAAAAAGGAAGAAAAAAAGTTGTCATCATATAATTATTTTTTGTTTAGTGATGTTGAATTAGGTTTTACTGGTCCATGTGGTTCATGTCGACAAACATTAGCTGAATTTGGTCTTGATTTAGATGTTTATCTTATCAATACAAAAAATGAATCGAAAGTGTATAAACTTCGAGATTTATTACCTATAGCTTTTACACCTCATGATCTTCAAAAACCACGTGCAAAACACGATGATATAGAATAATTGTTTATTGTTTTAATAAATTTGATAGACAATTGTTTAGGAATTTTTTTTCTATTTTTGTATTTTCAGAAATGTTTAACCCCGAATCAGCATCAGGGTTACAACAAAAAAGAATCACTTTATTATTTTTCCTCTATTCCAATTAAACGTGGTCATAGGCATCATTCTTCACTTTGGAAAGATTAGATGCTGAAGTCAGAACCGTCTTTTTTTGAACATCTTCTAGTCTCATAAACAATGAATCTATATGAACAGATAAATCCGAATGAAGTTCGATTGTTGGAGATTTTTATCAATTAGAGCGGAAGCTTTAGTCTTAAAATTTCATAAAACATTAAAACGTCTTTTAAAGCCTTTAAAGCTATAACTTTTGATATGTGTTGAAGTTGACAAATTGTTTGTTTATTTTTCAGCTTTTAAAGAAGCCTAGAGAAATTTGAAAACATTGAGTTATAATCAAGATTTTGTGTTGTTTCTGAATATAGCTTCAAAATTTTTGTAGGTCTTATGCTTTAAGAATTATGAACTGGGATTTGCAAGGTAAGTAATTTGAATTTGAAACAGCTTCAGTATGTCAAAACTTATTGAAAGTAGATGAGAAAATTATTTTACATAAAATGAATGAAAGAACAAATATTTCTCTATAAAATGGTATACCAATATTTAGCTTTCTTCAATTCTTTTGTCAACGGTAAATATTCCGACAAGGAATTGTTAAACTGAAACTATTATGAATTTGACTATGTCATTAAAATTAATTCGCTTCAGCAATTAATGCATCTTCTTAATACTACTGTGATCGTTATACAGTAAAGAGCGTTACGGTTTTAAGAATTTCACTCATATAAACAAAGTTTCTTTTCAGATGATAATTCTAACGTGTTAAACTGAAATTGACATAGTCACGGATAGAGCCTGTCGGGTTAAATTGTAGTTTGATATTCTCGATTCAATTTAGAAGAAGAAAAAAGAACTATGTTACTAAAAGTTTTCGTCTACAAATAAAGCAAAGCAGAGTTCAATAGAAACAATTGATCTATGTAACCGGTGGCGCTTAATAAATTTCACTTTAATCTCATTCCATGGAGAATTTTCTGCTCTCCGAGTAACTATCTTTCTTTTTTAAATAACTTTTTTTGTTGGTGCAAAATCTAAAAGATCAGCACCTACTTAATTGTCTCAGTGCGACGACCACAGACCGAAAAATTTTTCATAAAGGCTTGGCAGAAATTTCAAATATGCTACAAATATGAGAAATTCTTTTCTGACACAATTCCATGATTGTTCTTTTCTTCATATTTCTATTCTTCCATTAAACAATCATATCATTTTGTTCAGAATTGAATTTTATCGATTCCACCGGACTTCACGCTCGTCATATATTTAAAAAAATTTCTGAATACATCTGTTTTTTTTATTAATGATGGATGAATCGAAAGTTTTGTGACAAAATTTTTCTTTATTTTTTGGTCGATTTAGAAGAATAGCAGTGTGCTCTTTCTGAATCTCAAATGAGAATATTTGTGTGACTCATGAAAGAACTGAAAATAAAGTTTGGATGGATTTTAGTGCCGAAAAACCATCTAAGATAGAATTAAAATATATTACAAAAACATCAAATGGAAGAATACACATTTCTCTACAGAGTAATATCCTGATTATTAGTTTGTCGTAAGACATCTGTCAACAACGAGAATCATAGCAACAATGTTGCAATTCCTTGATTCTCACATCAGAGCTTTCGGCTTTCAGCTCATCAGCGTTTTAATATTCTTGTTACTCAATGTCAAAGATTTCGTTTTAGCATAGGTCTTTTTTCAGCTTGTATCGACAAAACAGAAGAATTATCCATATCAGAATAAGATACACCTGGTCAAGTGTATGCTTTTCTGTCTTTTTATCCATCATTTGCATCATTTAAACAACTTCGAACACTATATTTTCATTTTAATGATCAAAGTATCAGTTGAAGAACTGTTGAAATAGCTCTTAATTTCTCATCACAAGGGACTATTGACACTTTATCAATCAAAGCAATAAACAGAGAAGATAGATCTTCATTACAAAATATTATTGTCAATCTTTTCTCCTTAAAATTGCTTAAGTGGTTTTCTCTTATGGGCAGTTTAGATCGTACGAACTGGAGTGATTTAGTGAATGTCTCGTCAAATATTGAACATTTGACTATTTCTAGTATATATTGTGAATTTCAAGATCTACAATATATTTTCCAATGTGCTTCTTGTCTTAAATATCTTAATATTCAATTAATCAGTAAAAGATATAGTTTTTTTGTATGACATAGAAAAGCGGTCAAAAAAGATTACCATAGCAATGTTTTGTACTT